CATCCTTCCTTATTTCCTTCCTTTTCCCTTCTTCCTTATTTCCTTCCTTTTCCCTTCTTCCTTATTTCCTTCCTTTTCCCTCCTTTCCTTCTCTCCCCTTCCTACCTCCTCCTTTCCTCCTTCCTTCCTTCTCCTTCCCTCTTTCCTTCCTTCTCCTTGCCTCTTCCTCATTCCTTCCTTCATTCCTCCTCCCTCCCTCCTTCCTTACTTCCTTCTCCCTCCCTCCTTCCTTCATTCCTTCCTTCTCCTTCCTTCGTTCTTTCCTTTCCTCCCTCTCCCTCCTCCCTCCTTTATCCCTCCTCCCTTCCTTCGTTCCTTCTTTTCTTCCCTCTCCCTCCATCCCTCCTCCTCCTTCACTCCCCCCCCCCCCACCTGGCGCAGGGGTTGAAGCAGCATCCCTGACCCCCGTAGAAGGTCTCCCTTCACCCCCCTCCCTTCCTTCCCTCTTCCTCCCTTCCCTCCTTCTCCCTCTTCCTTCCTTCCCTCTTCCCTCCTTCTCCCTCCCCCACCCACCTGGCGCAGGGGTTGAAGCAGCATCCCTGCCCCGCGAAGAACTCCTCACCGTCCTCGAGGGTGTCCGGCAGCTTCTGGTCGAGCGTCTCCGGCAGGAGGACGCACACGAGGCCGCCCGCGACGGTCACCACGCCCAAGATGGCGTACGGGAGGAAGTGGCCGAATTTGGACTGCGGGGGAGGGGGGGGGTTACTTAATTTTTATGTGTCTCTTTGTGTTTGTTTGTCTTTCTGTCTGTCTGTCTCCGTCTATCTCTCTCTCTCACTGTCTGTATCGCTTTCTCTCTTTCTCTCTCTCTTTCTCCCTCCCCCCTCCCCCCTCCCCCACTCTTATTCTCTCTCTCTCTCTCTCTCTCCTCTCTCTCTCTCTCTCTCTCTCTCTCTCTCTCTCTCTCTCTCTCTCTCTCTCTCTCTCTCGCTCTCTCTCTCTCTCTCTCTCTCTCTCTCTCTCACTCACTCACTCTGTCTCTCTCCTCACCTCCATCCCTTCTCCTCCCTCCCCTCCCTCTCCCTCCCTTCCATTCTCACCCTCTCCCCCCCTCTCAAACTCGCCGATTCCATCAACCAATCTCAACTTAAACTGACCAACTAAACTCACCAAATAGACAATATACGGCGACAGGAAAGCGGCGACGAAGCCCATAGTGTGGATGAAAGCCATGCCCTGTGCCCTTGCAACGGTGGGCAACACTTCGACACTTATTGCAATGAGACGTTGCCTGACATGGTGATGAGAAATCTGCCTGCCATTGCTAGTACCATGATGGTGGTTTGGGCGTCTGCAGTGGGTGGGAGAGAAAGATATTGAATGTGTTTATTTGTTTATGTTTTATGCTCGTTGTTTATTTATTTGTTTATCTGGGGATTGGTTGATTGATTTTTATTATTTCTTTACATGGATGAGTAACATAGAAGGAGAACTTAAAAGCATGAAAGAGAAGTAATTATGTATCTATATTAATGAAAATTTGAATATTACGGTCAAAAAGGAAATATTGGCTCCTCTCAAAAATTCAATATACCCACCATTTTTTATCTTAATTTTTTTGACATAAAAATAAAAGATATTAAATGTAAACAAATATTCACTTTGAATATGTAAAAATATAGGCAAATTGCTATTCACTAATTATAAACTCAATGAAATTTGTAAGGATCCGAAAGTCAGTTCGGACGAGATGCATACATTAAACGAGTTAGCAGTATTTTCATATGTATTACTATTGATAAATGTATTTCTTAATATGGACAAACGCCTTTCTGAACCAGTTTGGTCAAGTCAGGTCATACGTTATCTGTATTTCCTCACTTGACCTTTTGGCATTTCGTCTGTCCTCCATCCCCTTTAATCTTTTGCATTATGTATTTATCGTATTCTCTCTCTCTCTCCTGTCTCCTCTCTTGTTTTCTTTCTTACTCTCTTTTTTGTATTTTTTCCTCTCTTTTCGTATTTTTCATCTCATGCTTTCATTTATCATTTTTTTTTTTCCTTTCTTTCTTATATTTTTTTCTTCTTTTCTCTCTATTTTCCTCTTTATTTCTTTCTTTTATTTTCACTTCCTCTTTCCTTCTTCTCTATTTTTCCTTCCCCTCTTTCTTAGTCCATCGCCCTCTCCCTCTTCCCTTTTCCCTCCCTTCCTCTTACTTCCCCCCTTTCTCTCCTTCCTTCTCTTCACCCTTTTCCTCCCCTCCCCCATTATTCCCTCTCCCTTTTCCCCTTTCCTTCCTTCCTCTTTTCTTCCTCTCCCTTCCCACCTCCTCTCCCTCTCTCTCCTCATCTCCTCTCCCTCTCCCTCTGCCTCTCCCTCCCCACCTCCTCCCCCTCTCTCCAACCCCCCTCTCCCTCTCCCTTCCCACCCCCTCTCCCTCCCCACCTCTTCTCCCTTTCCCCTCCTCCCCACCCCCCTCCCTACCCCTTCCCTTCCCACCTCCTCTCCCTCTTTCTCTCCAACTCCCTCTCCCTCTCCCTCTCCCTCTCCCTTCCCCCTCCTCCCTCTCTCTCTCTCCCTCACCGACACCCCTTTCCCTCTCCCTCCCCCTTTCCACTCTCTCTCCCCACCCCCTCTCCCTCTCCCTCCCCACGCCCACCTCCCCACCACCCCAGCACCCACCCGCAGGTACAGCTGCCACCGCCAGGCACGAGAGTCCGCCCACCACCACCGTCCCGACGAGGGTGTGGCGCCGCCCGAGCTTCTCCATCAGCAGGATCGTCAGCAAGTCAGCAGGCAGCTCGACGAAGCCTGCGATGGTGAAGGTGACGAAGACGTTGGGGCCGATGTTGACCGTGTTGCGCATATGGGCGTCGTAGGCGATGCTGACGGTGATTCTGTGGGCGGAGGTGGGTGGGGTTAGTGGTGGTGGGTGGGGGGGGAGAGACGGGAGAGATAGAGAGGGGGGAGGGGGAGGGGAGAGAGAAAGAGAAAGAGAAAGAGAAAGAGAGAGAGAAAGAGAAAGAGAAAGAGAGAGAGAAAGAGAAAGAGGAGCAGAAAGAGAAAGAGAAAAAGAAAGAAAAGAGAGAAAGAGAGAGAGAGAGAGAGAGAGAGAGAGAGAGAGAGAGAGAGAGAGAGAGAGAGAGAGAGACAGACAGACAGACAGACAGAGACAGAGACAGAGACAGAGACAGAGAAAGAGACAAAGCTATCTACACCTACACACTCCTCCAAACACAAAAATATGAGAGAGAAACAGAGAAAGAAGATAGACCTATCTACATCTACACCTACACACATAAACAAACACAAACAAACACTGAAGAAAAACAAGAGAAAGACTCACGACATGAGACAGAGAAGAAGAAAACGTGATCTTAACACCGGCGTCTTGAAGAGATCTAAGACGGTCACCTTAGGTCTTTTCTCCGCCGCTTTCTTCAAACCGAAATCCTGAAAGAAAAAAATAAATATAATACATGTTTGATTATCTATCTATCTTTCTGTTTATCTATCTTTCTGTCTGTCTGTCTATCTATCTATCTATTTATCTATCTGTCTATATACGTATATATATTTGTTTTCTTTCTTTTCTTTCTTTCTCTCTTTCTTTCTTGTTTCTTTTTCCTTTTCTTTTTTTTCTTTTTCTTTTTCTTTTTCTTTTTTTTTCTTTTTCTTTTTCTTTCCTTATTTTTTCTTTTCTTTCCTTTTTTTTTTTTACAAATTCCTTGAACGAATGGTGTAATGATAATTAATTGTAAAATAAAAAATCCTGAAGGAAATTATATACTGAAAATTACGTATCATACATGAAGTACATTTTCTAAATTTTCAAACAAATGCCATGAGCGAATTGTGTAATGATAATTAATTGGTGTAAGAGAAATTTGCTCTCAAAACTGAACATTATATTCTTAAAACTTTTTTTTTTAATATCATGATCTGCAATTGCATGGACGAAATTCACAATAACGATAGAACTGACTTGTGCAGAATAGACTTGCCCTTCAACGTGAAATCCTATAATTTTGTTTCTGAACTAAACTAATTTCATATTTACAACATATCGAGAAGCAAGTAAACATATAGGTTTATAGAGAAACAATTAGATTAAGTAAATAGATAATTACATTAGTGAATTGTTAAACACATAAGTAGATAAGTAAACAAACAAATAAGTAAACAAACAAACAAATAAGTATACAATAAAAAATAAGTAAACAAAAAATAAGTAAACAAACAAACAAATAAGTAAACAATAAAAAATAAGTAAACAATAAAAAATAAGTAAACAAACAAATAAGTAAACAAACAAACAAATAAGTAAACAATAAAAAATAAGTAAACAAAAAATAAGTAAACAAACAAACAAATAAGTAAACAATAAAAATAAGTAAACAAACAAACAAATAAGTAAACAATAAAAAATAGGTAAACAATAAAAAATAAGTAAACAAACAAATAAGTAAACAAACAAACAAATAAGTAAACAATAAAAAATAAGTAAACAAAAAGTAAGTAAACAAACAAACAAATAAGTAAACAATAAAAAATAAGTAAACAATAAAAAATAAGTAAACAAACAAACAAATAAGTAAACAATAAAATAAGTAAACAAACAAATAAGTAAACAAACAAACAGACAAAACAAACTGAAAACTATACACAAAAAGATAACATTATTTCTCACGTGCCTTCCTCACAACACGTACCTGGAGCTCCTGCAGTGTATCAGGAGAAAGGGATTTGCCGTTAATCCTGGCAGCCGTTCTAAGGATGTGTAGGGTGTCCTTTACGCGTCCTTGGCCCAGAAGCCAGCGGGCGGATTCGGGGAGAAGCCTGGAATGAGGGATAAAGGGTGAGGGGTGAGGAGGGAGGGAGAAGGGATAAGGGGTGAGGAGGGAGGGAGAAGGGGTGAGGAGGGAGGAGGGAGGGAGAAGGGGTGAGGAGGGAGGGAGAAGGGAGAAGGGGTGAGGAGGGAAGGAGAAGGAGTGAGGAAGGAGGAGGGAGGGAGAATGATTGGGTGAGGAAGAAGGGATGATGAGTGAAGGAGTGTTAAGGATACTGAATAAGGCTTGAAGAATGAGGTATGAAGAAAGAGGTTGAAGAATAAAGAATGAGGGGTGAGGAACGAAGAAATGGTGTAATGATGAGTGGAAATTATCCCCCTAGACTGGAGCCAATGTAATAATGCCACGAGGTCGTTCTGCTGCTTTGGTTCTTGATGCGCTGTAGTTAAAGTCGTCGCAGATTTATATTATTTTACAGCGGGAGTTTGGTAGCTGGAGTACAGAGGACAGGCAAGGCAGAGGCGCTCAGGGAGGAGTGGGACGTCTTGCCATGTCCGCGAGGACGAGCGGTCTGTGTCGACTGCTCAGAAACTATTATGAGCAAACTTCGCAAACTTGAAACATTTCGTAATGGAAAACACGAAAGAATTTGAATGTACATAAATTCAGATACATTTGGTTACACGGTGGTTCCGTGGGGAAGAAACAAGGAGTACCTTGTATGCAGTTGTATGTAAGAAGAGAATTTTGGTGTTTTCAAGACTAAAAAGCTTCGTGATAAGGAGACAGAAATATATTCATAAAACATAAGGATATTTGAATGTCGATAATGATAGCGATGACATACTTAGTGATTCAGAATAAGCATTTTCTAACGAACATTTTGAGTATAAACGAGACATAGTTATACACAGAGACATCAGAATAACAGCATGGGAACTGCTTGCGAACAATAAGGGTTGAAATAGCGTGTTCTATTGTCACTTCGTCATTGTCAGGGTTGTAGACCGGTTGGAATTGGCGGAAAAAGATAAGAAATATATGGCTTTTCCGGTATGTGAGCGAAAGAGATCACGAGAACAGGTCACTATAAACGGGGAATAAGGGAGGAATGAGGAATGATGGGTGAGAAAGGGAGAGAGAGAGAGAAAGGAAGAGAGAGAGAGAGAGAGAGAGAGAGAGAGAGAGAGAGAGAGAGAGAGAGAGAGAGAGAGAGAGAGAGAGACGATAAGGATGAGACGGAGGAGCAATAAGGAATAATGTAAGAGAAGAATATAAAGATAATGTTTGAGGAAGATAAACGTGAGAGGGAGAAAGAGAGAAATAAGAAATAAGATAAATCGATCGAAAGATAGATGAATAGATAAAAAAAGAGAGAGAGAGAGAGAAGAGGGAGAAAGATAAATATGGAGAAATATGAGAGACGGACAAAAAGCAATGTAAGAGGAGAGGGAGACAGATTAAAAAAAAATAATAATAAAAAAAAAAAAAAAAAAACAGGAACATGAAATACAAAATGAAACAAAAGTGGGAATAGAAATGGCAAAACAGAAACACAAATACAGAAATTAAAGAAATACTATAAACACGAATGTAATAATAATAATAAGAAAAAAATCCTGTCTATTTATCTATCTATCTGTCTATCTATCTATCTATCTATCTATCTATCTATCAATCTATCCATCTATCTATCCATCTATATATATATATATATATATATATATATATATATATATATATATATATATATATATATATATATATATATATGTAAATGAAAATAAAAATATAAGGAAAAGACGAATATTAAAAGACGGGAATCAAATAAAACGGAAAACGAATTTTTAAAAAATCGAATCACACAAACAATAAAAAATACGAAAAAAAAAAAATATATATATATATAAAAACACACACAAAAAAACATAAATCCTCTCCCCCCAAAAAAAAAACACGAAAATTTACAAATCACGCACACACACAAAAAAAATTGATAAATAACAACAATAATAATGATAATAATAATAATAATAACAATAATAATGATAATAATAATAATAATAATAATGATAATAATAATAATGATAATAATAATAACAATAATGAGAATGATAATAATAATAATAAAAAAAAAAAATAATAATAATAATAATAATAATAATAATCAGGATGATGATGATGATGATAATGATGATGTTGATGACTGATAATAATGATAATAATAATAATAATAATAATAAGGATAATAATAACAATAATAATAATAATAATAATAATAATAATGATAATAATGATAATAATGATAATAATGATAATAATGATAATAATGATAATAATAATAATAATAATAATAATAATAATAATGATAATAATGATAATGATAATGATAATAATAATAATAATAATGATAATAATAATGATAATAATAATAACAACAACAATAACAATAGTAAAAATAATAATAATAATAACAATAATAACAACAATAACAATAACAACAACAAAGTTTTAAACGCCCACCAGTAGAACGCGACGCACAGGATCTGCGGCGCGTGAATGACCACCGCGAAGAGCGACCACTCCTTCAGCGCCCACGCCAGCCACGGCAGCCCACACATGGAGGCGGTGAGGAAGGTGAGGATGGGTACGTTGCCCATGATAGATCGGTACTCACTCGACACGTATTCCATGACTGTGAGGAGTGAGTTTGCTTGAGTGAGTTAGGGGTTGTGTTTGTTTGCGTTTGTGTCTCTGTTTGTTTGTTTGTTTGTGTGTGTTTTTCTGTTTCTTTTTTCTCGTTTTTTTATTTGTTGGACTCTTTCTTCTTCGTTCTCTTTCTTGCTCTCTCTCTCTCTCTCTCTCTCTCTCTCTCTCTCTCTCTCTCTCTCTCTCTCTCTCTCTCTCTCTCTCTCTCTCTCTCTCTCTCTCTCTTTTTTTTTTTTTACAAAATTAATATGTGGAACAGACGATGTTCTCTTCTGTAGAGGTTTGCTGTTGATTTTTATTCTACTATATCTTATCTCTATTATTATCATTATATTTTTATCATCCATTATCATCATCATCATCATCATTATTATTATTATTGTTATTATTATTATCATTATCATTATCATTATCATTATCATTATCATTATCATTATCATTATCATTATCATTATCATTATCATTATCATTATCATTATTATTATCATTATCATTATCATTATCATTATCATCATCATCATCATCATCATCATCAACATCATCATCATTATTATCTTTATTATTTAGATTGTAAAGATTTGCTGTTCATCTTTATTTTTTCTTATTTTATTTCTATTAATGTTTACTCATTTATCATTATCTTTTTTTCAAATGTAAAGGTTTGTTGGTAATTCTTATATTTTTTTTCTTTATATTTCCTTTTATTCTTATTTCATTTCATCCTTATTATAAACCATCAAGCATAAGAGTGAAGAACGAGGAATTAAGAACAAGGAATGAAGATATGAAGAAGGAGAAAGGAATAATAGGAGATGAGCGTGAAGAACAAGGAACGAAGGGTAAAGAATAACCAACGACGGAAAAAGAAAATGGAATAAAAGAATAAAGAACAATCAACGAAAAAAAAAACTTACTCAGGATATAGACGGCGTTGTAATGCGTGTCGAAAGTGACCCCGACGATGAACCTGAAGACGGCGAAGGAGGCGAAGGAGGAGCAAAAGGCGGAGGCCACGCCCCCCAGCCCGCCCACCACGTTGGTGGCCACGATGACCGGCAGGCGACCCCACGCGTCCGCCGCCCAGCCCAGCACCGGCGACCCCACGAGGGACCCCACGAAGAACAGCGACTGCGCCAGCGTCGGCTTCCAGTCCTCGGCGCACACCCAGTCCAGCTGAGGCACGGAGGGGGGGTGGGGATTAGTTCAGCTTTTAGAAGAGTCTCTTTCTCGCTCTCTTGTACTCGCATTCTGTCTGTCTGTCTGTCTGTCTCCTTTTCTCCCTCCCTCCTCTCTCTCTCTCTCTCTCTCTCTCTCTCTCTCTCTCTCTCTCTCTCTCTCTCTCTATATATATATATATATATATATATATATATATTCATTTCTTTTATGATTAAGACTTCAAATTTACTATTTTCACAATGAAAAATTACCTTAGAAATATATGTATATATGTGTGTATATATATATATATATATATATATATATATATATATATATATATATATATATATATATATATGTATGTATATATATATATATATATATATATATATATATATATATATATATATATATATATATATATATATTTATATTTATATGTATATATGTATATATATATATATATATATATATATATATATATATATATATATATATATATATATATATGTATATATATGTATATATATATACATATATATTATATGATTTTATTATATATTGTATACCTGAGATGTGATGGTTGGATAGAAAAGAGAAAAATCATACACCCAGCCGTGGGTACAGCTGATCGTCGGCCAGCTGGGGTCGGGCCAGCTGGTCTGGTTTTCTACCACCTGTTTTTACGGGGGAGAAGAAAGAGAGAAAATATTGATACAGTTGGTCACCTATTTGTTTGCTTTTTGTTTATTTGTTTACCTGTTTGTTTTTACCACTTTTATGGGGGGAGGGAGAGTAGATTAGATTAGAGAGAAAAATTAAGAGAAAATATTAATTCAGTTCGTTACTTACTTGCTTACTTTTTACTTACTTATTTAAATATTTTGATGATTGTGTTTGAAGAAAAAAACGAGAAAATATTGAATTGTTTGTTTGTTTGCTTAATTACTTGCTTATTAAATTATAATCTAATCACTGTTTGGGGGAAATCTATCTATTATTGATGAATATTAGATTTTAAAAAAATAGAAAGTATTGATTTAAACAAATATCTTCTTACTTAATTTTTATTTACTTTACCATTGTTTGTGGGGATCTTTTTTTGTATGCTTGTTTGTTTTTGCTGAATATTAGATATGGAAGGAGAAATATATTTAATATTTTTACGTATTTACTTACTTTCTTTTTTGGAAATCTCTCATCATTGTTTTTTTTTGGAAATTTGTTTGTTTTTTGAGAAAGGTAAGATTAGAAAAAAACAAGTAAAAATATGGCTTTATTTCCTTGTTTGCTTATTTATTTTTTCTTACTTATCTAATTCTTTGTTTGGCGGATTATTTTAGAGAAGGAATAAATCAGAGAAAAATGGGATATTTTTGGAATTAAATTGTTTACGCCTTTACCTTTTATATATATTTATTTTTTTTTACTGATGTATTAAGAGAAAAAGTAGAAGAAGAGGAAAAGGAAAAAGAAGAAGAGGAAAGAGAAGAAGAAGAAAAAGAAGTGGAAGAAGATGAGATGATGTTGGTGATTAAGAAGAGGAAGAAGACAAAGAAGAAGAAGGAGGAGAAGAAGAAAAGAAGAAGAAGAAGAAGAAAAAGACAAAGAAGAACTAAATTGAATAAAAGAAACGAAGATTTGAGAACGTACAGGAAAAAGAAGGCGGAGAAGAAAACGAAGAAGAAGAAGAAGAAAGATGAGAGCAAGAATATGAAGAAGAAAAAAAAGGAGGAGGAGGAGGAAGAGAAGACGAAGAAGATGATGAAGAAAAAGGAGTAGACGGTGAAGAAGAAAAAGATGAAAAATAAGAGATGATAGATGTTTTAATTTAAAAAAAATAGATAAATAGTCAGATAAAAACCTTGAAAATATATTTATATGATATAAATTCAATTTAATATAAAAACAAGATCTTCACTTGATTAAAATCTACCCGAGACCTTTTAATATAGCGTGGTTTTGCATAAATATATGTATGTTTGTAGACCTATGGATAAGTGTATTTATGTATGTGTGTACGCGTTTGTGCATGTGTTTGTACTTACATGCGCGCGTGTGTGTGTATGTGTATGTGTATGTGTGTGTGTGTTCGTGTTTATATCCAATTATAACTATCCACCATGACTATCCACAATCCTAAATATCTACCCCCTCCCCCCCTCCCTCTCCTCACCTGGCCGAAATCCACCTGGTACCTGACGCACTCCAGGAACTTCCCCGAGTGCGGATCCGTCGGAATGGTGAGTCTCTTGACCTGCTCCGAGGTCAGGTTGAGCCGGGCGAGGTCAGGCGGGGGCGCGCACCAGTGAGGCGGGGTCAGGGTCATGAAGAACTGCCCGAAGTACACGAAGGAGACGACGGCGCACATGAAGCAGTTGGCGCAGAAAAGGAGCTGGGAGGAGAACGAGGAAAGAGAGTGAGGAGAGTTAGGAAAAGGAGGAAAGTGAGGAAGGGGAGGAGTGAGGAAAGTGAGGAAGGGGAGGAGTGAGGAAAGAGTAAGGAGAACGAGGAGAGTGAGGAAAGTGAGGAAGAGGAGGGAGGAATGACGAGCTGGGAGGAGAGTGAGGAGAGTTAGGAAAAGGAGGAAAGTGAGTAAGAGGAGGAAAGAGTGAGGAGCTGGGAGGAGAGCGAGGGAAGAGCGTGGAGAGTTAGGAAAAGGAGGAAAGTGAGGAAGAGGAGGAGAATGAGGAAAGAGTGAGGAGAGTGAGGGAAAGAAGGAGATTAGGGAGGAGAGTGGGGAAGGAGTGAGGAGAGTTAGGAAAAGGAGGAAAGTGAGGAAGAGGAGGAGAATGAGGAAAGAGTGAGGAGAGTGAGGGAAAGAAGGAGATTAGGGAGGAGAGTGGGGAAGGAGTGAGGAGAGTTAGGAAAAGGAGGAAAGTGAGGAAGAGGAGGGAGGAGTGAGGAAAGAGTGAGGAGAGTTAGGAAAAGGAGGAAAGTGAGGAAGAGGAGGGAGGAGTGAGGGAAGAGTGAGGAGAGTTAGGAAAAGGAGGAAAGTGAGGAAGAGGAGGAGAATGAGGAACGAGTGAGGAGAGTTAGGAAAAGGAGGAGAATGAGGAAAGAGTGAGGAGAGTTAGGAAAAGGAGGAAAGTGAGGAAGAGGAGGAGAATGAGGAAAGAGTGAGGAGAACAAGGAGAGTGAGGAAGGAGTGAGGAGAGTTGGGAGGAGAGCGAGGGAAGAGCGAGGAGAGTGGGGAAAAGGAGGTGAATGAGAGAATGAGAAGAGTGAGAGAATGAGGAGAGTGGGCAGGAGAGGGAGGAGATTAAGGATGAGGGAATAGGAGAGGGTGGAGAGCAAGGGGAGTGAAGAAAGAGTGGGAAGAGTGAAAAAAGAGTGAAGAAAGAGCGAGGAAAGTGAGGAAAGAGTGAGGAAAGAGTGAGAAAGGAGTGAGAAAGGAGTGAGGAGAGTGAGGAAAAGGAGGAGAGTAGGAAAAAGAATGAGGAGAGTGAAGGGGAGAGTGAAGAATGAAGAGAGGGAGTAGGTGAGTGGAGAATGAGGAGAGGAGGGAAATTGAGGATGAGGGAAGAGGGGAGACGAAGGGTGAAAGGGACGTAAGGAGAGGGAAGAGGACCTAGGAAGAGGGTGAGGACAGGGAGGAGAGTGAGAGTGAGAGTGAGAGAGTGAGGAGGAGAAGGAGGGAGGATGAAAGTGAGGAGGAGGGAAGAGGAGCTGAAAATATAATGAATTTGGATAATTGTTACAATAACCCAACGGTCAGGATTTAATAATTTAGAAGGCTACATAAATGAAAGACTTACATAAATGTATTCACGTACACACATATGCATATGTACACATACATCCACAATTAAACTAAGAAAGAGACAGACACATCGCACATCCACATACATAAAGACACTTATACACACATAAACACATAAAAACAAATGCACACACACACACACACACACACACACACACACACACACACACACACACACACACACACACACACACACACACACACGTATAGTAATAATGGTGATAACATTAACAACAGCAAAAAAAAAAAATCTGATAACGATAAAGACGATCAAAATGATAAGGATGATAATAATGATGATAATAATAATGATAATAATGATGATGATGATAAAAATGATAATGGTAATAATAATAATAATTATTATCATTATATTATTATTATTATTATTATCATTACTATAATGATAATAATGATAATGGTAATGATGAATACTGAAGATGATGATAATGATGGTAATAATAATAATAATAACAATGATAACAGGAATGATAATGAAAAATGATAGTAATAAAAGTAATGATAATAATAATATCAATAATCATGATAATAATTATAATAATGATAATAGTAATAATAATGAAAATAATGATAACAATAATAATAGTAATAGTAATAATGGTAATAATAATAATAATGACAATGATAATAATAACAATAATGATAATAATGTTGGTGATGAAGGCGATTATCATTATTATTATTATAACGAAAGTAATAATAATAGCAATAATAATGATATAATGATTAACAACGATAAAACACACCCACATACACACACGAAACGCAAAATAAACCAACACACACACATACATATTGCATTTACAATAATTATCATAAAAAGAATTGTCACTTACCATTTGATATTTCCCAAACCCGCCAATATGAACAAATACGCTATCGAAATCTTTAATAACCATCGTCACTGGTTTTGGCACTGTGGCACTATGAGACTGTGACACTATTATGCTCTGACGCTGCTGCACGAGTGTTCTACCATGCTGTGGCACTATCGCAGTATGACACTAATGGTGATACGATGCTTTGACACTATGTCATGGCACTATTGGAGTATGGCATTGCTAGTACTGTGCTATTATGACATTGTGGTGGACTATGGCTCTATCGCAGTATTTGTCACTGTTAAATCATGGTGTTATGGTGAACTATGGCACTATCTCAGTATGGTACAGTGATGGACTATGGCACTGTCTCATATAACACTGTGACACTTTGGCACTGAGGGGGAACAACATATATTGAAGTGGCACTCGAAATCACATGGAGAGAGAGTATTAACACAAAGTGAAGCTGATTAATACGTTGGCACTCTCGATTGGCACTTGTTGGGTGTCACTGGCACTTGGTGGATCTGAAGAAGACTCATCTTGATAAAACGGCTCAAGGAAAGGGAGAGATTGATGCACTGATAAATGTAGATTTCAGACGTATGATGCGCGCGCGCACGTGTGTGTGTGTGTGTGTGTGTGTGTGTGTGTGTGTGTGTGTGTGTGTGTGTGTGTGTGTGTGTGTGTGTGTGTGTGTGTGTGTGTGTGTGTGTATGTGTGAGTGTGTGTGTGTGTGTTGTATATGGATGTGAGTATGTGTATATTTGTTTACGTATGTCTGTATGCATGCATGCTTGTATGTATGCATGTACCCACCTATTTTTGTGTGTGTGTATGTATATAATATATTACCAACTGCAATATTTCTCCCTCCAGCAGCCTCCTGAAGGTCAGCTGAAATCGTCTTTCAAGATAAGATAAGGAATGTATTAATCTTATCTTCCCCTTTGCCGATTTAGTTTAATAATCACTTCTGCAATAACTCATACATATCACTTGGCTTGATCTTAAGTTAATGTAAGTGTTACCGTTATTATTATCATCATCCTTAATATTATCGTCATAATCATTGTTAAGTCATTGTTAATATAATGATGAATAATAATGAGATTATAGATAATGATTATGATGATATTGAAAATGGTAATGATAAGAAGGATGATAATGATCATAATAATGATAAGGAAAAATAAATATAATAATAATGATAATAATAATGATAATAATAACAATAATAATAATAATAATAATAATAACAATAATAATAATAATAATAATGATAATAATAATAATAATGATAATAATAATAATAATAATAATAATAATAATAATAATAATAATAATAATAAAAATAATAATAATGATAATAATAATGATAATGATAATAATGGTGATAATAACAATAATGGCAATAACAATAACACCAATAACAATTATAATAACAGTGATGCTGATAATGACAACAGTAATTCTCCATTCTAATGACATCATCTCCTGACAGATCATTTGCATCAGATCCCACAACATGTTTATTCCTTCCTCCTTTAAACTCTTCCTCACTTCTGTTGTCTGGTTCTGTAGCTTTATTGTTTTTCCTTTTCTTTAAAGGTTTCTTTACTTCTTCTCTAGTTATTCCTGGTTTTATATCTTGATTTAGTATTCCATCTCCAAATTCTTGTCTTGGATTTTCTACGTTCAATAGATGCCCGAATTATCCTTAGTAATGAACTATCTAACTTGTCTGATGTGGGTGAAATCTTTTGACGTCTTGTCTCTTGCTCTGGTTATTTTATGCAAATTTCTTTTTCCCTCCGGGGTTTCTGGTTCTTTTTCGACTTCCTTTCTATCACTCGCTTTCGTCTTTGCTACTTCCTCTTTTGCCTTCTTGCTTGCTCTCTTCCACTCTTCTCTCTATCTCCCTGCGAACCAGATCTCTCCCCCATCTCTTCTTTGCCTCTTTTTTTTTTTTTTTTTTTTTTTTTTTTTGCCCTTCTTCGTTCCACCACCAAGTCTCCTTTACCGGATGTTTTACTTAACACTTCTTCTTCATCCTTCCTTATTACCATGTTCTCCTTCCACTACTCTCGTACACCCCCCCCCCCCTCCTCGCACGTCCCAACTTTCAAACGCCTTTTTCAAGGTTATTATAATACATTATTATCATTATATCATCATTATATTATTATCATTATCCTTGTTCTTATTATCACTATAATTATTATTAATATTATTATTATTATTATTATTATTGTTATTATTATTATTATTATTATTATTGTTATTATTATTATTATTATCATTATTATTATCATTATTATTATTGTCATTATTATCATTATCAGCATCGCCATTATTATCGTTATCCTCATCATCGTCATCATCATTGTGATGGTGATTATTACTATCATTATCATCATCATTATAACCATCATCATAATCGTTATTATTATTATTATTATTATTATTATTATTATTATTATTATTATTATTACTATTATTATTATTATCATTTTCATCATCGGCATTAGCATTGCCATTATTATTGTTATTATCAGTATCACTATTATTATTATCACTATCATGATCATTATCACTATTGTTATCGTCATCATCACCATTATTGATACCATAACTATAAATATCATTGCTGTTTTTATTATCATTGTTATTGATTATCGTGATTATGATCATTATTATCACTACTGTTATTAGCATCATCATTATTATTACTATTACTATTAGTTATCATCATTATTATTATTATTACCATTACTATCATCACCATTATCATTATAATTATTATCATCATTATCATTATCATCCTTATCATCATCATCTTCATTATCATTGTTTTTATTTTTGTCCATTTTTTATCATTATTAATATTATTATTATCATTATTATCATTATTGTTGTAATTATTATTATCATTATTATTATTATTATTATTATTATTATTATTATTATTATTATTATTATTATTATTATCATTATTATTATTATCATTATTATCATTACTATAATTCTTGTCAATACCATCATTATTACTCCTGTCATTACTATTACCTGGTCACATGAGAACGTCCCATGTTCCGGTAAGAACACTTTGAACATTGAACAGAGCAGACGAAGCGGTATAACTTTCATACTTATCATTATCATTATGAATGGTAATGCTATTATCAGTAGGATCACAATCATCATTATTATCTTTATTACAATGGTTATGTTGATTATCATTATCGTTACTACAGTCACTATAGTGATTAGGATTATCATCATTATAACAATGATAATTATTATTATCGTTATTACAATTATTACACAATTTCCATGCTCATTATTTGTAGTTATTATGACAATCACCATCTTCATTAGCATTATTATTACAATTGTCATTTTCATTATAATTATCCTTGTTTCTATTTACCATTATCTCATTGTCGTCAGTGCTATCAAAATATGTCTATATTCTTTTAGCTGGGATTGGAAACAATTTTTTTTTTATTATTATGTTGACGTAATCGGCCTGTTCATTATGTAAAGGAATTTATCATTCTTGTTCTTATATTTCCTTTTCCTTTTTTCTTTTCTTTTCTTTTATCGACGTCGTAAGGCTATATTGCAGGTTCGAAATAGTCCATTTAAAATCCAGAAAATATTTATTGGACAATCAGATGACAAAAATAGATAGCAAAAAATGGCGTCACATTTCCAAATAGTAGAATAGCTATGGACTATTTCTATATAGATTTCTATACAGAATTTGCTGTTTTTTCGTCTATATCAAAAGCTTTTGAAGCATATTAGAAATAAGCATATATATAAAAGTAGCTAATGTAATCCGCTTATAATTCAAAATATAGATAAATCCAATGTTATAATACATTATGTTTGTTCATTGACCGCATGCATGTTCTAAACATGCAAGTGGATTATTCAATGGTTTCTAATTCTATTTCTAATGTTAAATAGTCACCACTTTACAATGCAAGTGGAGGCGTGTGTGCCAGCCAGACGGAACAAGAAGGCAACAATAAGACACTATTCTTGGAAACTTATTATCCTGTGGCAAGTAATAAATAAATTGAAAAGATGAATGAATAAAATGATAAATGGAATTAGCCCAAAAATAATGATAAATAAATTAAATGATGACTAGAAAGTGCTTCTGATAGAATCTTATATGTCCTAAGAATCCATCAGAGTAAGCGTTAAAGTGACGAAAAAAAATATTATAAATGTTTATATAAATAACCTAATACCTGCAAGATGCAATGGGTAGACTTCTACAAATTGCAAATTATATGAGTATACGCTCAACTTACATGTATAATATGTATAATATAAAATACCTACAATATGCTTATTCATGTGTATGTGAATTTATATAATATGTGCTCCCATCGAAGTTTTAAGTATATTAAAAATTAATTCAACAGTCATACATGCACATATAAAATTGGCTAGACTATAAATGCACGTTTGAACATACCATTATACAGATAACGGGAATAATGCATATAGAAGAGCGTCCGTGCAAAGCTTGTACACTGACTGTTGAACATGCAACAGTATATTAGGATAAATGCAAGGTACGTTGTATATCTATAAAATTCCCCTTCCTGGGCCTCTAAAGTTTGTTTTTTTGGGCGATTTTCTTGTAGCATGTTATTTGCTTTCCGGTTTAAAGGTGCTTGCTGGTCTCCCGGCAATTAGTATGTATCGGAAGCATATTTGTTTTTGTACTTGTATTTGTTTTTGTAAATGTTGGTGGTGTGGTGCCTGTTGCCACTATTCCCCGTCGACGGCTGGCACCACCACTGCCAACCCTCCTCAGGCTCTTCCTCGGGGCACTGAGACCTCATGACGAGAAAGACGATGAGGAACACGATCACAGCCAAGACCAGCACCAACAGGAAAACATAAATCGGCTTCATCTCTCCGGGGACTGCGGCGGGTCTGGCCGGAGCGCTGTTGAACACCGGGTTTTATGAAGCGCTGTTTCCTCTGGGTGGGGGGACCTGTTGAAGAGGTAGGAAAAATAGAGGGAAGGGAAGGGAATTTTTTTTTAACGTTTTATGTATAGTAAGTTTTGGAGATGTGCGAGTGTGTGTGTGTGTGTGCGTGCGTGTGTGTGTGTGTGTGTGTGTGTGTGTGTGTGTGTGTGTGTGTGTGTGTGTGTGTGTGTGTGTGTGTGTGTGTGTGTGTGTGTGTGTGTGTGTGCGTGTGTGTGTGCGTGTGCGTGTGCGTGTGCTTGGGCGTGTCTGTGTGCGTGTGCGTGGACGTGTCTGTGTGCGAGTACGTGTGCGTGGGCGTGGGCGTGTCTGTGTGCGTGTACGTGTGCGTGTCTGTATGTGCGTGCGTGTGTGTATTTGTGCCACGCCCTTGGCAATAATTCTTACAAACAAAATAGATAAATTAACAATAAAATCTCTTGGTTATGATAATGGTAATAAACAAATAGTGATAATAATAGCAATGACAATGGTGATAATAATAATAATGCTACTACTACTATTTATAATAACAACAATAATAACTATGATAATCATTATTTTT